TTTTTTTTTTGTCCGTGTAGTTGAGTTTTTCAAATAATGTAGAGAACTATTTTCAGCAATAATAAGTCATTTAAAGGCGAATTTGTGTTAATTGGGACACTTAACTGTAAATGTATTATGTCCTCTTATGTTTATCATGTGTAAAAAAAAAGGTTTTGCCATAATTAGATGGAGAATTACATTTAGGTGAAACTATTCTTCTGCACTGGCCATGTCTCTCATGCAAACTTAATCATAGCACCCTCTACTGGGGAGGTGGATGGATTTACTTTTTGTTCTACTTCAGTTCCTGCACTTTATATCTGTCTTTATCAAGCCACACAGTCACTGGTGTGGTCCTACTTTCTGAAGTCAAAGAATTTTAAAATTAGGTCAAACACAATAAGGGTTTTATTTAAATATTTAAAACTCACAAAAGTGTGTTTTCAATTTTAAAAAAACTCTGATAACAATCAGGACAAAATCTTCGAATGTATTTTTAGCTGATAGTTGTCCTTTTTTTCAAATGTGGATGTTTTGAATGGTGAGTCAGTTTTAAAAGTCAGCATTTGAGGAAGTTTCATGATTCATCTACAGGTCACAGTATCAGGGACAACCATTGTTGTTACTTAAAAGCCACGTCATCCTAAGCCTAAATACAGTCGTTTCCACTGTGTGTGAATGAATGAAAGGCATTGTCGCGTGCTGTGCTGCGGTATCTTGTTGTCATTAACGGTTTTTCTACCGAACATTTTGTGAATGGACATCAGTAGAACCACAGAGGTAACAAACCCAGATCGGTTCATTCAGACACGCCCTTGAATTTAGTTCTGTGAAAATGCTACATGGGCTCAGACCGAGAAAATAGAAAAAGCAGAAAAAAGACATTGTTTGCTTTTTATGTTAATCACACAAGGTTGCTAACCTTTCTAAGGTTTTAATTCATTTTTGTGTAATTACATTTAATAATCGTATCCCCAAATTAAAATGTGGAGCATGTTGATGTTTTCCAGAGCTGCCAAATTCAGTGCTTGTCGTTAACCAAACCACAAACAGTCTCTTCTAACAGGGTCGTGCTACAGCGATGACTACACTGATGTTCTGGACTTTATTTATATGTATATTAAATGGTTGATCCCAGCTCTTTGACGTCACCCACCCCTTCAGTAACTCTCCTTTTTACATTCATTCATTTCCTGTAGAGTGCTGACCTCCACTTCCATGTTTTCTCCCACCTGCTCCCTACCCTCACCACAGACTACAATGTCATCTGCAAAGATGATGATTCACGGAGCCTCCCGTCTGACCTCATCAGTCAAACTCTATATTAGGGCAAATGCCTGATCACCCTACACCCATCTATCACTCTGGCTGTACACCTCGACACTCTAATAAATGTCTTGCTCAAACATCACCTACCTCTTCACCACTTCTGACTTACTCAAAGTCAGAAGTGGACTTAATCTAAAACCACTCTCTTGGTACGTTGCTATATGCTGCATCTTCTCTGCACTTCCCAACACAAGCTTTCACAGGATGTCTGACCTCTCACCTTCATTTAGTTGTACCCCAGTGTTACAATGACATTAGCCTAGGAATTGTTGCTCTGTCATCCCTGATTGGCCAACAACGTTAGTCTTAAGTTTAAGTCTAGATATGAAGAAAAGAAATATTCACTTCAACAAAGTTAAATATAGTCAGTCTGCCTCAACCTGCACACAAAAAACTGAAGTCCTTTTCCTTACTACTAGCTTTTTGGCGCACACACACACACACACCGAGGAAGAGAGAGAAAAAAAACAGCACAGCTCTTTAAGGCCTGCTGTCAGGTCAGGACAATATGCTGAAGATATAGAGTTGTGTTTACTTCTAGGAAGAGAATAAGTAACAGGAGAGGGAGAGAGAGAGAGAGAGAGAGAGAGAGAGAGAGAGAAGGACTTTGTACATTGACCTTTAGCCCCAACCTAACTTTTATCCCTGGTTCAGTTCTGCTCTTGTTCATCTGAACCGTAGTACTGTTTGTACTGTCCTTCGTGATTAGAGTGTTGTGAGAAAAAATGTTCAGTAGAATTCCTTTTTCTTACTCTTCCCATTCATATTGAAAGTTTTCCTTTTGTGTCAGTGTACAGAATTATCCTTCTGGTTTGTGAGTGTCTGTAGTGGGCAGAGGTGAGGAGTGGGGGTGAGTAGAACACACACCATCTACAGCTGTCACTGTGGTTTCCCAGTCTTAGACACACGGCACCAGGAACAGTGGTCAGGACAGACAGCGTCTTTTCATTTTCCATTCCATCCATCTTGAAACTCTGGCTTCATATCATGTCCCAGGAATGAACGTTGGCAGCTGCTGTCTGTCCACTTAATGATGTAACAACAAATGCAAAGTAATATGTTAGTTTAGTTTACTGTTCGTTAGCCTGATTAGCCTCCAAACATATTTGTCACATTTCAAACACAACTGCAGTGATTTTTCCCATGAAGCTCTGTCACTGTGAACACTCAGTTCGATCCACCACAACTGTAGCTACAGTTGTTGATCTCAACACAGTCAGTAGATTAAATGAAAACATGGCTGGACATTCAGCATTCTTCCCTTCCATACTAAACTGCAGAGCTACGAGCAAGCGTCTAGTTGGAGGTTTGTGTGTCTTGTGTCTCTAGTTGCTGTTCTAGTCCCTCCTGGA